TAGTTGGTGCACACACAAGTAATATTGTATGTTATTAAACTTTTAAGTTGTATAAATATGTGAAGACTTGTTATAACAACAGTTATTTGCACAATTGTGTAAAATACTGTTTTGGAACTATGACAATATCATGAAATGCCACTTTTGGTTATGTTGTGTGTGACTTTGTTTTTGTGGTTAAGTTTGACAAGCGAAGGTTACATTTGTCTTTACACAAGCAAAGGTTAAATTCTTTTTTCTTTAAGGTCTGAGTACTACTTTGTATATAACGCTGGTGCTAGCTTTTACATAATTGCTTTAGTTTTATCATTTCACTAATATAACTAAGTTGGTTTCATTTGTATCATTTCTTTTTATTTTGCACAAAACTTAAGTGTCCTAATGTTTTGTTTCTATTTTCAGTATCTCAAAAGTCTCATGAAAACTAATCCAGATAGCAGTGGTGAAGTTGAAGGCACAAAGAGTATAAAAGAAAAGGTACACTCTTTTCATTCTGGTTTATTTTTCACTTCTTACATATAGCAGTACCTCCTATGCCTGTGTAAGTATAATTTTGATACCAAACATTGGAATTGGTAAGTTTTCCTATTGTAACAGAGTTCTCCTTCACTTTTAACAACACAGAATGCACAAGTATAAAATATCAAATATAAATGGTAATTAAAAATATTCACCAGTAATTACCAATTTTGAAATGTTATGTTGATAAAATATTCTGTCTTAACAGGTGTATTACGTACTGATGTGGTGTTAATATAAAAAAAAATTTAATACTTGGTAATAATTATTTCAGAAATCGAAGGACCTGCATACAGTTGTTATTAGATCTAAAGAAATGTGCAAGTTCAAGCAAAATAAGAACCGAACATTTAATAAGAAAAGTCTTAAGACCTTCCTAAAACCACTAAAGTTCAGAAGCCTCAGAATCCCAAAAAACATTGGATTTGTAGCCTATGTTGGCTTTCGCACTGAGAAAGAAATGAGACAAGCCTTGATGAAAGACAGAAGTTTCTTAGGTAAGTAAGCACTCATTTTAGACCACATAAGGTAATTGTTTGTCTTGGGCTATAAGTGCATTACACATCCCCAGCCTTGATGCTGGTAAGTGGCATTTTATTCAAGGAATTGGAGCCACCCCTTACCTCCCTTGGATCAAGCTTGACTACTTTCCATTCCTAAGGAAATGTATGACTAGCTATGGGTGCAGCAATTCATTGTATGAATACAATAATAATGATGTACTCCATGTACCTTCCTTAACTTTTTTTTTTCTTTTTTAACACAGCCATTTCCCACCTAGGCAGGGTTTACCTGGAAAGGGTTTCGGGGGTCAATGCCCCCGCAGCTTGATTTGAGACCAGGCCTTGTGGTGGATCAGGGTCTGATCAACCAGGCTGTTACTGCTGGCCACATGCAAACTGATATACGAACCACAGGCTCATCACCTTGCTCTTTCCAATGTTCTCTTTTAATTTCTTTCTTTTACATACCCTTCCAAACTCATTCACTAAGTTTTGCAACTTCTCTTTAGAATCTCCAAAAGCAGTGTCATCAGCAAAGAGCAATTGTGACAACTCCTACTTTGTGTTAGATGCTTTATCTTTCATTCCCACACCTCTCCCCAATACCCCTGCATTCACTTATCTTACAGCTTCATCTATAAATATATTAAACATCAATGGTGACATCATACATCCTTGTCTAAGGACTACTTTATTGGAAAAATAATCTCCCTCTTTCCTACATACCCTAACCTGAGCTTCACTATCTTTGTAAAAACTACTCCCAAACTATATCCCCACCTGCTTTTAACTTTTTTTGTCTTGATCCCATCAATTCCAGCCCTTTCACTTTACCCACAGCCTCACTCACCTCCAGCACTCTCACATCTGGCTCTTTCTTACTCGTGAAAGATGTTATACCTCGCTGGTCAGTGAATGATATCACAGCTTCTCTCTTCATCAACATTTAACCCTTTAACTTTATCCAACGTACTAGTATGCAGGTGCTGGTACTATCTTGTATATTAATACACACCATTTTTTATACCCACAAATCTGCCACCATAGATAGTAGGTTGGTAGACAGTAACCACCCAGGGAGGTACTACCATCCTGCCAAGTGAATGTGAAACAAAAACCTGATGGTAGGATTGCTGGTGTCTTTTTTCTGTCTCAAACATGCAGGCTTTCAGGTACATCTTTCTACTTCTGCTTACATTTAGGTCACACTACACATGCATGTACAAGCATATATATACACACCCTTCTGGGTTTTCTTCTAGTTTGCTTACTAGTTCTTGTTCTTGTTTATTTCCACTTATCTCCATGGGGAAGTGGAAGAGAATTCTTCCTCCGTAAGCCATGCGTGTCGTAAGAGGCGACTGAAATGCCAGGAGCAAGGGGCTAATAACCCCTTCTTCTGTATATACTGTATTACTAAATGTAAAAGGAGAAACTTTCGTTTTTTTTCTTTTGGGCCACTCCGCCTCAGTGGGTTACGGCTGGTGTGTTAAAAGAAGAAGAAATCTACCACCTGCCAATATATATTTTTTTAACCTCAGGGCAAATCTTTGGGTCTTTTTCCATCCATTTATACATTTGAAAAAATCTAAGGCCAGCAAGGTACACACAACGTATCACGGATAACTACTCACGGGATGACTGTATGTCCTATGTACTAGTATGCCTCGCTAACAAAAGTAAACAAAGGAGCCAGGACCTATTGTTCCACCACCAGCTTCCCTACTAGCAAACAAGGTGTGCAAGTGGTTCAAAGATGACTTATTCATTCCAAATTTATTACAATTTCATGATATTAACAGTGAAATTCAGCCACAAAGTATGCTAGGTATAACCCAGTAAGTCAAACTGTGTGAATAATTTCCATGTTTTGATGAGTAATGCATTCTGAAATAATTGTGATATTTTAAGTATTCATTATACATAGCCTTAGAAGACCAAAATAGTTAAGAAAATATAATAAAATAATTAACAAGTATACAGTCCGTATATATAACCCAGTAAAGTCAGTCAATGTTATTTATTTCCATGTTTTGAGGAGTATTACACTGAAATGATTGTAATGTTATAAATATTCCTTGTTCATAGCCTTGAGAGACCAAAATATTAAAAAAAAAAAATATCATATAAATACGATTATTCCAAGTGAAGCAATGTTTGAAGTGCTTAACCCTTTCAGGATCCCCAGGCCCTCTCCCAGACTTGTTCTCAGGGTCGCCCAAATTTGAAAAAAAAAAAATTCTTATGAAAAAATAGAGAATCTTTTCCCGATCATAATGACACCAAAAGTATGAAATTTGATGGAAAACTTACGGAATTATGCTCTCGCGAAGTTAGCGGTCTCGACGATGTTTATGCATCGGTGATTTTGCCCACTTTGAGCCCTATTCTCGGCCAATTCCAGTGTACTAGTTGACAAAAATCATAACTATTTCGCTAGAACTCCATTTTTTCTATCGAATGAGTACAAGAAACCGCCCATTTACCGATTTCAACTATCCAATACAGTGGTCAGAATTTAGCAGTTTTGCCAATGTCACACAAATTTCAAAAGATGCCAAATTCCAAATAGGGTCCAGAATAAACAAGAAAGACATTCCTGGCACTAAAATAACATTTCTTCTGTTCATTAGTCACGTCCCCAGGCCCCTCTTACATTCTTTTGCTTTCCACTTTGAATTTTTATTCTCACAAGAAAATAGAAGATTTACTGTTATGCAGACCACTGCATTAGTGTAAAAATGGTATAAATAATATAGGCACACTTGTGAAAGAATATTAGACTCGCCAGTTGACGTGTATTGGACGCTTAGCATGATTTGTTTACTTTTGAACTTTGGTAAAAATCGAACATTTCTGCTACTTGGAGCTCAATTTCAAGGTACTTTTCATTGTAAAACCAGTCAGAATCATCTCAATTTCTGTAATATGTCTTCCATTCTATAAAATGAGACCAGGAAAACTAGAATACAACAATAAATACCATATGAAAATACAGTGCAAAGTCGCTGTTTTAATCCAAAAACACGGTCAGTTTTTTTTTTCTCATTACGCACTGTGTGCTGCAGAATTTTTTTTATACTCCGCACACTGACCACATAGACCCATTCTTTCATATGTAGGCCTACCAGCTTTCTCTCACTAGATTTGAGGGCGCTAGAATTTAGGTGTACTAGTATGTCAAAAATCTTGGTGCGTAAGCTGTACTAGTATGGCCAAAACCCTGAAGGGTCCGTCCCGTAGATCAACGGCTTTACATTGAGTGTCCAAACCGTAGATCTACGCCAAAATTCTAGCGCCGTCAAATTTAGCGCAAAAACGCTCATAGGCCTACATGTGAGAGAACGGGTCTGCGTGGTGGGTGTGCGCCATAAACAAAAAATCTAGGCGCCCGCATAGCATTGTTGGAACGCCGGCTCAGTTACCCTTGTTCACCATGCCTCGTCGCAAGTCAGCTCTCACTCCCCGGAAAATTGGGACTCTCCTCTTCCTATCTGATAGTTCTGACACTGATGGAAGTGGAAATGAAGACGAATTCTACGGCTTTGATCAGTTAGTGACCGAAAAGAATGACCAGGATATCGATAATAGTGCAGAAAACCCTGACGATCCTCAACCTTCTACCTCTGGTGTGGGCACTCGTGACTCACGGTCGGTTGTTCCTCATCGCAAGAGAAAACTAATATTTTCGCGTGGCCAGGCCTCTGACTTCAGTAATGATGATGATAGTGACGTGGACTGTGATTTTATGCGCTCGACGATCATTCGAGTAGTGATAGTGAGGAATCATATTCACCAGTGAAGCTTCGGTATGTTCGCCGCCGCATGCGCTCGGGTAGTGTACCCTATGCTGTGCCCAGGGGATGGAGTACATCCCGGAGTACATCCCGTGGCCCAACACCAGTTTCAGGTAGTGATAGTGAGGATGATGTGGCTACACTTGGCATGGATAGACAACAGGCATCAGTGGATGGTGTTAGTGGTGATGGTAGTGGCACCGCCATGCGTGACTCACCAGGCCACGCTGGGACCCACGCTGCTGACTCGTCAGTTCAAGGACAAAGCGGAGCGCCTCAGTTTATGTGTGAGGAATGTAAGGTGCCTCTGTGCATGGTGCCTTGTTTCAAGGAGTTCCACAAGCTCCAGCAGTTCTAAAACCATGTCCAGTGATTGTAAATATGTAAATATATGATAGAACATTAGTATTATACAAGATTTGTGCATGTTTATTGTAATAAACAACAGTTGTAAACAATAATATGATAATAACTTTAGTGCGGTTATTGTGTTCAATACAGTGAGTTTATATATATACATTATATACAGTATTGGTCTCTCAGGCCCCAAATGTTAGTAGGAATAGAAAAAAATTGGAAAAGAAAAGAAAAAACAACAAAAACTGCAAAATAATGTAATGCGCGTTTGTGGAATTCGTCGATGTTGCCGCCACCACATCATTTTCGACAAACTTCTTGGCACTGTATCTCGGTAAGTACTGATCAGATTTTTTTTTTGTCTTATTACCTTCACAAAAATATGCTCTTTAATTCTGTAAGATTTTTTTTTTTTTTTTTTTTTTTTTTTTTTTTTTTTTTTCCCAAAATTTCTTGGACACTGGAGCACCACTTCAGATTTTGGCCTTGGACCCTGAAGGGGTTAAACAGCTTGGAAAAAAAAATCCAATATAAAAAACTACTATATATAGAGTTAAACATTACATAAATGCAATTAAAAAAAAATGAAAAAATCATATATTAGCATCAATAAATCGTAAAATGTAAACATCACTTGGGCTTTAACCCCGCTGTTGCTGGCTAGTGATCATTTTTTCAACATAACAGAATTGTAAGTTTATATCAGATTCCACTCATTTTAGTCTTATTTAATTCAGGAAAATGAACTCTATCGAACACACGCGCGCACACACACACACACACACACACACACACACACACACACACACAACACACACACACACACACACACACACACAC